TACATTCTTTTTGTTTGATATAGAATGGATTCTCTGAAATGTTTTCTCAATTCATATTCCTTGGTTAAGGTTCAAGCTCTTCTTATTTGACTGTTGCCTTGATACTGGCTCTCCCTCATTGAAGGCTATTCATATGATTGTCAGAAATGTAATTATTTCTACATTCCTAAAACATTAGCTGGAGGATAAGGAGCCTGAAAGTCTTTGTCTCTTGCTAACTGACCAGGAATGGGGATATCAGACATTGTAGCCCAGTTCTGTATATGAGCCATAATTGAATGCATATCACTCCTCTAAGTGATGTGATCTTGAATCCCGTCTAGGTTACCATAATTTAGTATGCCTTATGATCATATTTCGCTCTGATTTGAATATCAGAGAATATATTCAAATATATAAGACAGTATCTATATAAGACATATAGATCTTTTTAGTTAGATTTTGTTTTATCTTGTTAGTACCTTGCCTCTAGTCTGGTGGATTTTAACTGTAATAATTTAAATCAAATTTTAGCATGGCTACAACAAGCATAAAAGCCTTCATATGTAAGAAGAGTATTCAACTCTTATAGCCCTATATATTCTCTTGTTGTTGTTGAATCAGTAAGTTGGATCTGAGTCTTTGTGACCTCATGAATCATCACATCCCTGTCCTCCCGTCCTCCACTGTCTTCCAGAATTTGCCCAAATTAATATTCATTGCGTTCCATTGATGACACTATTTAACTATCTCATTCTCTGCTGTCTTCTTCTCCTTTTGCCTTCAATCTTTCTCATATCAGGGACTTTTCCAATGAGTCCTTTCTTCTCATTAGGCCAAAGTATTTGAGCCTTAGTTCAGTATCTGTCTTCCAAAGGACACTCAGGTTTGATTTCCTTTAGGATTGACTGATTTATTCTCCTTGTAGTCCTAGGGGCTCTCAGTAGTCTTTTCCAGCTCCACAATTCAAAAGCATCAATCTTTCAGACTTATGGTCTAACACTCACATCGATACATTACTATTGGGAAAACTATTCCTTTCACTATACAGACTTTTGTCAGTAAGGTGATGTCTCTGCTTTTTAATATGCAGCGTAGATTTGCCATAGCTTTTATCCCAAGGAGCAAGCGTCTCTTAATCTCATGGCTGCAGCCACAATCTGCAGTGATTTTGGAGCCCAAGAAAATAATTCTGTCACTGCTTCTATTTCTTATCCTTCTATTTGCCAGAAAGTGATGGGACTGAATTCCATGATCTTAGTTTTCTAATGTTGAGTTTCAAACCAACTTTGGCATTCTCCCATTTTACATTATACCTCAAGAGGTTCTTTCTTCTTACTCCTCCAATCTTTATCGTATCTTGATATTATAATTTCATTTATTGTAACATTTCTCCACCATTTAATACATATTATCTAACCTATATATCGATATCGATATCTATATACAGTAGATATCTTCTCTAACCAATGGTAAAATTGGTTTTACGATATCTTAAAATATTCTGATTCATCTCTTTCTTTAATTGTCAATGTCAATCTACTCATTTCTGCACAATCCAATATTTTCTTAATTACTTCTCGCTCTGTAGGGATTATCTCTGCTTTCCATTTTTGCGCAAAGACTATCCTCACTGCAGTTATAACATGTATGATCAAATATATATTTTCTTTACTAAATTTCTCTGGTATGATACCCATTAGGAACAGTTCAAGTTTTAAAACTATATGTTGTTGTATCATTTCTTCTAACCATGTTTTAATTTTAATCCAATAATTTCTCGCTTCTGGAAACGTCCACAACATATGATAATATGATCCTGGTACTAATGGCATTTCCAACATTTAGCTGATTTATCTTTAAACATTTTTGCCAATTTTTTAGGTGGCATGTGCCATCTGTAAAACATTTTATATTGATTCTCCTTATATGCTGTGGACATTGTTAATTTATAATTCTTTTCCCATAGCTGCTGCCATTTATCTAATTCAATTGAGTATCCAAAAAATTTTTCTAGGCTATCACTGTTTCTTTTACCTGTTCTTCTTCTAATTCCATACTAAGTAAATGATTATATATCTTTCTAATTATGTGTTCATCTGTTCCTGTGAGAATTTCATCCAATTCTGTCATTTCTAAATAGAAACCATATAGTTTAGCATCTTTTTCATACCTTGTTTGAATTTGCATATGAGTATACAAGTCCATCTCAATCCCTTGTTTTTCTATTCCTTGGTTCCCTTTCAATTCCCCCTTATCTCTTAAAATATCCTTATATCTAAGAATATTTATAATATTAATAATATTTGGATGTATTAATGCTTCCATTGTTGATAACCATACTGATATTTTCAAATAATATTTATCTCTAATGTTCTCCCACGCTAATAACAATGTGTTTCTTACATAGTGTCTTTGGAAATCAGTATGTATCTTGCTTCTGCCATACCATAAAAAGGCATGCCATCCGAATTGTAAACCATGACCTTCCAAAATTAATCAGGAATCATCTCTTGATTATATAGTCTCTCATAATAATTTTGAATTATTTTTTTCTTTTCTTCATTTTTATAACATATACTTCCTTCTTCACCTTGTAATTGATTAATTAATTTCTTCTCTTTTTCTTTTTTCATTTTATATGCCAACTATCTAGCTGGCTTATTTGCATTTTCAAAGAAATTCTATTTGGCTGACCTTAATATACACGCCAAAACTTCTTGTTTAAATTTATTTCATGTTTTTTTCAATTCCATTTGGTTTTTAGCTTTATCATTTTGTGGATTTTTTGTAATTCTTTCTCCAGTCTCTTATATTCCTCTTCCAATTTCTTCTGTGTTTCTCTTTTCTTTTTATTCTTTTTTCCCCAAATATGTTACTGCCAGGCCTCTAATATATTCTTTGATTGTATCCTATACATTGTGAAGTGAAGTATCTTCCTTTTGTTTATTTTGAAGAAAAACTCCAATTCTTTTTCCATAAATTGTTGAAATTCTTTTTTCATTTAGAATTGTTTGATTCAAAGTCCATCTATATTTTTTCTTTTGTTTTTTCCATGTTATTATAAGTGGATTGTGATCTGCCCAAAGATTTGAGTCAATATTTATTTCTTGCATATTGTCTATTAAATCTGATGACATTGGAGAAGAGGCATGGCTAGCGCCCAGCAGTACAACTCTTTTCTCAGATGCTTCTGAGAAAATGTTGATATCGAAGTTGTTTGGGGTCTTTATTGACTGAAAACTGTCTCAGAGGGACGGTGAGCAAGAAGGGCACAGACTGCTAATGCAAGGAAATCATAATTCCCTGGTTAGTCAGAAGCAGCACTTCAACCAGATGATCTAGAAAGAGGCCATTGAATGAGCTGCAATAAAGCCGGGACAGTTACAGTGGGACCAGAGAGACAATGGATGTGGATTCATCTGGGTGAGAAAGCCGACTTCTCTTTTTGTTTTCTTTGAAGTTTCTTTGACGCTTTGATTAGAAGTTTTCTTTGTATAAACCCTGGGAAATAACTTGAAGGAAAGTGAAGGGGGCAAAGAGAAGAGGGGAGAGCAGGGCGTGTGTCAGCTCTCTACCCTCAGCTGTTTAGCAGTGAAGAAAGTGGATTGACCCAAGCAGAAGAAATGAATTGAATGAAGTAACAAAATTATTTTGGGAGCAAGAAAGTAAGAACAGGAAGCCTGATTGAATACTTGTAAATTATGGATTTGTGGATTTAAGCAAAATTAATGAGACTGAGTGGAAATTATTGAAAGAACTAGTTATAAAACTTTTCCTATTTTTTTCTTTTTTTCCACTTTTCTTCTGAGTGAAAGTGGTTTGCAGCGTCATCTAGAGACACAAATAAAAAGACTTTATTAAACTGATTGAGAGGACTGGCTTGAGATTGTAGGCTTGGACTGATAAGAAACAGCTGTGTCTGGCAAGAACTGCATATTGAGATAGATAGCCTTAATAGAAGTTGAAATAGTGTGCCTTGTGCAAACTTTGAAACAGAAACAAAAACAAGACAACTGAGGCAATATAAACAGCCCTGTTTGGAAATCTCTTTCTTTTTTCTTTTTCTTGTGACTGCTCTTTTGCTTCTTTTTATTTTATTTTATTTTATTTTATTTTATTATTTCATTTTATAATTTAATTTAATTTAATTTAATTTATTTTAATTTAATTTAATTTAATTTAATTTAATTTAATTTAATTTAATTTAATTTAATTTAATTTATTTTATTTTATTTTATTTTATTTTCCATTTATACTCCTCTTTTTTTGTCTTAGGATTTGACCATATACAGTGATTTCTCTTTTTTCTTTTTTTTTTTCTTGAACTATTTTCATTGACTGGATTGTATCTTTTTTCCTTTCCATGTCTCTCTCTCTCTCTCTCTCCCACTCCCTCTCCCTCCCTCCCTCCCCCCCTCTCTCTCTCTTTCTCTCTCTCTCTTTCTTTTTGGCTGGTTGGTTTTTTGGAGTGTTTGAATTTTGATGATAAATAAAAAAACGGATTAAGGTAAGAAGAACCTGAAGAGTCAGAAATTTTTGCTTTTTTACTTCTTCATTTTTTTTCTTCTTTCTTCTTTTTCTTTTTCTTTTTCTATATATATATTTACCTTTTGCTATGTGTTTCTGAGTGTGATGGAGTTTTTTTATCTTTATTTTTAACCAATGCATTCAATGGGGTGAGTTAGGTATTTCGATTATAAATTTAAATTTATTTGCATTATAAATTCAGTGGATTATAATAGACAAGACAAGATGAAGAAGACAACAACACAGTTACCTTCCACAACACCAGCTTCAAGCCCTGCAGTGCAGAGGACATTGCATACCATGGCCATGCAATTGGAACTAAAAAATATACAGGTTTTTCATGAAGACTTCAAAGAAAGAATGGAGAAGGTAGAAGGAAAACTTAAAGAAGTGAAGGCGATGGTGGGAAAGAATGAAGAAAGAATACAGAAAGTGGAGGAAAAGGCAGATTTAACAGAAAAAATGTGGAGGAAATGGATGACAGACTCACAATGGCTGACAAAAACCAGGAAAAAATTATTTCTCTTGAAATGGACAAAGCAGAGTACTATTTAAGATTTCAAAATATAGAAGAAGAGAAAGGAGAGAACTTGGCAGAAGTGATGGTGGAGATACTGGCAGAAGTGCTGGAGGAACCCAAGGAAAAGATATTAAATGGGATTGATGAGATATACCGAGTGCATACTCAATATGCAATGACAAATAAACTGCCAAGAGAGATGCATGTAAGATTTACCAGGAAAACAATAAAAACAGAAATATTACAGGTAGCAAGAAATACTCCAATAAAATATAAAGACAACGAGATTGTGGTGCTGAAACAGATACCCAGGAGAGTGCGAGATATGAGGAGAGAATATCAATTTCTGACAAAACTCTTAATCCAAAAAGAAGTAAATTTCAGATGGTTAATACCAGAAGGAATATTAATTTATTGGCAAGTGCAAAGACATAGACTGGATTTGATAGAGAAAGCAGAATTATTTTATGATCAATATTTGGGACTCCAAGAAGAACAAAGATTGAGAGAGGAAAAAGAAACTAAAGTCCAAGATGAAGCGATGAAAGAAAAAGAAGATCAAAAAAGAGAGACAACAAAAGAACAAGAAGAAAAGGCAATAAGAGAGGGGGCGAGGTCAAAAGAGGACAAGGATCAAAGAGAAATAAGGATGATAAGATCAACAAAAACTAATAACAAGTAAAATATGGAAGAAGAAACCAAAGCAATATCAATAAATATTAATGGTTTGAATTTGGTGATAAAAAGGAAAAAAACTTTTAATAAATTGGGAAAATTAAAAATGGACATTGTGTGCCTACAAGAAGTTCATATTAGAAAGCAATACAAAAAAATATCAGAGTATCCAAAATTGGGCGATTGAAAGCAAACAAGGTGTAGATACATAAATTAAAAAGAGACTAGAACCTAAACAAATATATGCTGATGAAGAAGGGAGGATTTTAATGGTGGAAGTAACAATGAACTATAAACAAATATTGTTGGTGGGGAAATATGCACCAAATGATAAACAAGAAGAATTCTATGGAAAATTGCACAGGAAAATAATAGAATTTGAATTTGACAATATGTGCATAATGGAACAGTTTAATGCAATAAGGGAAGTAGATTGGAACTATAAGATGACAAAAGTTAATAAGAAACATAGAAAAGTGCTCCCCAAATCCTTTCTCACAATGGTAGATGAAATAGGCATTAAAGATATTTGGAGAGAAAGACATTTGAAAGAAAAGCAGTATACTTTTTATTCAAATAGGCACTAGTCATGGTCTAGAATAGATATGATGTGGATGTCAATTGATTTATTAGCGAATGTACAAGATATAAGCATTGAAAGCAGAGCCCTCAGAGAGTTGGGTGGCATAGAAATACAATAAATAAATAAATAAATAAATAAATAAATAAATAAATAAATAAATAAATAAATAAACAAATAAATAAATAAACAAACAAACAAGTATTTGGGCAGACCATAATCTGATTATAATTATATGGAAGGGACAAAGAAAGAGATTAAGATGGACATTGAATCAAACAATATTAAATGAAAAAGAGTTTCAACAATCTGTAGAGAAAGAATTAGGATTCTTTTTTAAAGGAAAACAGAAAGGAAGACACCTCATTGCAAACTGTGTGGGAAACACAGTTAAAGCATATATTCAAGGGTTGGCAATGACCTATTTGGGAAAAAGAAATAAAAAGAAAAGATAAACACAGAAAAAATTGGAAGAAGAATACAACTGGAGATGGAATTACAAAAAAATATGCAAAGCAAGACGACTAAAAACCAAATGGATTTGAAAGAACATGAAATGAACTTAATTGAAAAAGAAGACTTGGCTTATCAAATAAATATGTCTAAACAAAACTTTTTTGAAAATGCTAATAAGCCAGGTAGATGGCTGGCATATAAAATGAGAAAGGAGAAGGAGAAAAAACTAATTAATCAACTAATAGATGAAGGTGGATAGATATGTTACCGAAATGGAGGAGGGGAGTGGTACAGAAATATTATAACAGACTTTATGAGGCTGGAGTCAGTGCATCAAGAGCCACCACACACAAACAGATCCTGGACATGGGCTTCAAATGTTGAATTCCTCTTGTCGAGCTGCTCCTGAACAACAAACAACGTCAGAAATGTCTTACCTGGACTAAAGAAAAAAAGAACTGGTCTGTTGCTCAGTGGTCCAAAGTCCTCTTTTCTAATGAGAGCAACTTTTGCATCTCATTTGGAAACCAAGGACCCAGAGTCTGGAGGAAGAATGGAGAGGCACACACTGCAAGATGCTTGAAGTCCAATGTGAAGTTTCCACAGTCTGTGTTGATTTGGGGAGCCATGTCATCTGCTGGTGTTGGTCCACTGTGCTTCATTAAGTTCAGGGTCAACGCAGCCATCTACCAAGAGATTTTGGAGCACTTCATGCTTCCTTCTGCAGACGAGCTTTATGAGGATGCTGACTTCATTTTCCAGCAGGATTTAGCACCTGCCCACACTGCCAAAAGTACCAAAACCTGGTTCAATGACCATGGGATTACTGTGCTTGATTGGCCAGCAAACTTGCCGGACCTGAACCCCATAGAGAATCTATGGGGCATTGCCAAGAGAAAGATGAGAGACATGAGACCGAACAATGCAGAAGAGCTGAAGGCTGTTATTGAAGCATCCTGGTCTTCCATAACACCTCAGCAGTGCCACAGGCTGATAGCATCCATGCCACGCCGCATTGAGGCAGTAATTGATGCAAAAGGGGTCCAAACCAAGTACTGAGTACATATGCATGCTTATACTTTTCAGAGGTCCGATATTGTTCTATATACAATCCTTGTTTTATTGATTTCATGTAATATTCTAATTTTCTGAGATTGTGAATTTGAGGTTTTCATGAGCTGTAAGGCATAATCATCAAAATTATGACAAACCAAGGTTGAACTATCTCGCTTTGCATGTAATGAGTCTATCTCATATATTAGTTTCACCTTTTAAGTTGCATTACTGAAAAAAATGAACTTTTGCACGATATTCTAATTTTTCGAGTTTCACCTGTATATGGTTTTTACTTGGAAATGACAGTATTGGATGAGATACTCACAGGACCTGAGGAAAAAATGATTAGAAAATTGTATAGTTATTTACTTGAAGTGAAGTTAGAAGAAGAACAAGTCAAAGAAACAATGATAGCATGGGCAAAAAAATGTGGATATACGATTGAGTTAAATAAATGGCAGCAATTATGGGAAAGAAATTATAAATTCACAATGGCCACAGCATATAAAGAGAACTTATATAAAATGTTTTATAGATGGCACACACCACCAGAAAGATTGGCAAAAATGTTTATAGATAAATCAGCTAAATGTTGGAAATGTCATCAGATGCCAGGATCATATTATCATATGTGGTGGACATGTCCAGAAGTGAAAAACTATTGGGCAAAGATTAGAATATGGCTAGAGAAAATGACACAGCAACATATTGATTTAAATCCAGAATTGTTCCTGTTGGGCATTCTTTCAGAGAAGTATAGTAAAGAACACACACATATGATAATACATGTAATAACGGCGGCAAGAATTGTATTTGCACAAAATTGGAAAGAAGAAAAAATTCCTACAAAGGGAGAGCTGATTAAGAAAATATTGGAATGTGCAGAAATGAATAGGTTGACACTGGCAATTAAAGGGAAAGAAGAATCAGAGTATTATAACATATGGGGAAAATTTTATCAATGGATAGAAAATGAGTATAGACAATAAACATGGTAAAGATAAGAACTTTGGGAGGATTAAGTTGTAGTATATTAATATTAAATGAAAAAGGAAACACAAAAGTATGTATTAAGAAATGATGATATATTATGAAGAATGATGGTACATAAATATTATACCCAGATGATACATGGATTGATTAATAATGTACAGGAATGTAAGAAGAGATATAACTATAAAGCAAAAAAGAATCTTGAAATGAAGATGTATGTGACTAGAAATCGAGGCTGCTCAAAAACCATCTCAGATTGAATTGAAAAAGGAAACAAAAAGAGAGGGGAGAGGGTAAAGAGGGGAGGGAGGAGAGTTGGGACGTGAGAAGAGAAGAAAAGAAGAATGGGAAAAGGAGAGAAAGAAAGAAGGGGGAAAGAGGGTAAGAAAGGGAGGAAGAAGAGAGAGGGTAAAGAGGAGAGGAAGTAGAAAAAGGAAGGAGAGGAGGAATGAGGAAAGTAGAAAGAAACAGAAGAGGAGAGAGAAGAGAAGAAAAGGAAAGTTTGTATTAAAATAAAGGAAGGAGATGGTAGAAGAGCAGACCCGAACAACTAATTAGCAAATGGAAGTTAAAGAACAAGATGAATGAATAATGATTAATGATGGACAAAAGACTGTACATTTGAATATGTTTATAAAAAATAAAAATAAAAAAATTTGACGCCGAGTTCAACCCATTTACATTTATTGATATTGCTTTTATTTCTTCTTCCATGTTTTACTGATTACTAACTTTTGATCTTGTCTCTCTTGTCTCTCTTTGTTCTTTTGCATCTTTTGCTCTTGCTCCTTCTCTCATTCTGTTTTCTTCCTGGTTGTTGTTCTTTCTTCCTTCTCTTTTATGCTTGCCTCTTGATATCCGGTCCCTCTTGCTTCTGCTGTTTTTCCATCTTCTAGCAGACCCCAATATTGCTCATAAAATACTGTTGCTTTTTCAATGGACTCTAATTTATGTCTTTGTTCTTGCCATGTCATCAATATTCCTTCTGCGATTAACCACCTAAACCTCACTTCTTTTGTAATTAAAAGCCTTGTTAAGAAATGGTATTCTTTCCTCAAATCTCTAACTATTCTAGGTATTTGTCTCAGCACCACTATCTCTTTATCTTTATATTTCATTGCAGTGTTTCTCGTTATTTGTAGAAACTCTGTTTTTATCACTTTCTTTGTGAATCTTACATGGACTTCTCTCAGTAATTTATTTCTCAGTGCATTTCTTATGTGCACTCTAAAAACCTCATCCATCTCATTTAATATCTTCTTCTTAGGTTGTTCCGACACTTCTACCAACATCTCTGCAAACACATCCAGCAAATTTTCTCCTTTCTCTTCCTCTATATTTGGAAATCTTACATAATAATCAGATCTATCAATTTCCAAAGAATTAATTGTTCACTCTGATGTCAATTTTTCCTCTAATTCTTCCACTTTCTTTTCTGTCAAGTCCACTTTTTTCTCTACTTTTTGAATTCTTTCTTCATTTTTCCCAATCATCTCTTTCACTTCTTTTAAGTCTTCTTTCAAATTGTCATGAAGCGTCTCTATGAGATTTTTTAAATGCATCATTTCTGACGTTTTTAATGTTTCTATTGTAGAGGGGCTTTCTGCTGAATGCAAATATGCTATAAATTTATTCATCCCTTAGTGTTATATGTCCCAATTTATAATCCACTTGTAATTACTATTTATAATCCAAATATCTAATTCACCCCACTGGATGAACTAGAAAAAAGAAAAAGAAAAAAATATAAACAAAAAAGTTAAAGAAAAATCTAATCTGCCTCCCCCCAAGTGAAAAGTATCAAATAATACTATCCAGAAAAAAAGAGGGGAAAAAAGAGAAAAGAAAGAAAAAATTATATATATATAATTATTTGATTAATAAGAAGATGAAAAAGAATTTTTTTAATCAATTATGTTTCTGCAGGCTCTTCTTGCCTTAATCCAAATTTTAAATGAACCAGCAGTATTTTTCTTCATTCAATCAGAGGGGGGGGGAAAGGGGGAGGGGAGTGACAAAAGGAAATTGGGAAATTGCTTTCACTATACAGACTTTTGTCAGTAGGGTGATATCTGCTTTTTAATATGCTGTGTAGGTTTGCTATAGCTTTCCTCCCAAGGAGCAAGAGTCTCTTAATTTTATGGCTGCAGCCACTATCTGCAGTGATTTTGGAGCCCAACAAAATAATTCTGTAACTGCTTCCATTTCTTCTCCTTCTATTTGCCAGAAAGTGATGGGACTGGATGCCAAGATCTTAGTTTTCTAATGTTGAGTTTCAAGCCAACGTTTCCACTCTCCCATTTTACTTTCATCAAGAGGTTCTTGATGAAGGTAAAAGTGCAAAGAAGAGCAACAATGATGATCAAAGGCCTTGAGACAAAAACAAATGAAGAACAGTTGCAGGGTTTAGCTAGTCTAGACAAAAGAAGAACTAGAGGGAACATGATAGCAGTATTCCAGTATTTGAGAGGCTGCCACAAAGAAGAGGGGGTCAATTTATTTTCCAAAGTACCAGAGGGCAGGACAAGAAACAATGGATGGAAACTAATCAAAGAGAAAAGCAACCTGGAATTCAGGAGAAACTTCCTAGCAGTCAGAACAATTAACTAGTGGAACAGTTTGCCATCAGATGTTGTGGCTTCTTCATCACTGGAAGTTTTTAAGAAGAGATTGGACAGTCATTTGTCTGAAATGGTATGGGGTCTTCTTCTTCAGCAAGGGCTTGGACTAGAAGAACTCTTCTGATTGATTGATTGATTGATTAGTTTCCTGTCTTTAAAGTAGCATCAACAGCTTATTTGAGGTGGTTGATGTTTCTCCTGGCTAGCTTAATTCTGGATTGTGATTCATCCAGCCTGGAATTTCATATAATTAACGCTGCATATAATTTAAATGAAAATATACAGCTTTGTAGTACTCTTTCCCTATTTTAAATTAATCAGTTGTTCCATGTCTCATTCTAAGTAAAAGCTTTAGCATCATCAATGAAGCAGAACTAGATGGTTTTCTGGAAACCTTGCTTTCTCATAATGCAGCAAATGTTGGCAATTTAAGTGCTATATCCTCTGCCTTAAGAAAAAAATCATTTGTACTTCTTGGTTCTCGATTCACACACTGCTGAAGCCTAGCTTGTAGGATTTTGAGTACAACCTTAGTGTGTGAAATGAGCACAACTATATGGTAGTTTTAAGCATCTTAGTATTTGTTATATATTAATTACAAGCCATCTGGCTTAAGTAGCTTTCACAATTAAACTACAGAGCTTGATTTTATTTTATTTTTTTTACTGCTTTTTATTTTGCAATTCTATGTTAATTTTATTTCAGTAATCTGATAAATTATCTCTTCCACTTTGTTAGAATGATTGTTATGTTATTTGATTGATACTGGTATACAGATTAATTTAAAAAGTGTTTATTTTATCTATTTTTAAACAAACATTCGTATGTATATTTTGGACATATGAATTATTTCTCCCTCATTCGGTTTGTTCCTCTCTGATTTCAGGTTCATTCTTTTCTGAGAAGTGTCAGATTCAACAACAGTGTTGGTGAAAAGATCTCCTTTGATAAAAATGGAGAATTCATTGGTGGATTTGATATTATCAACTGGGTCACATTCCCAAATCAGTCTTTTGCAAGGATTAAAGTTGGAATGGTAGATCCCACAGCTCCAGCAGAGAAGTTCTTCAATATTTCTGTAAATTCCATCACATGGCCAGAAGATTTTAATCAGGTTAGCTCTTTGAATCGAAATTTGTCTGCCTTCATTTAAATATAATTATTGATGAAAGTCTCAGAATATCATTTCTGAATAACCCAGGTATGAATCTACTGGTGAAGGAAAAATATTACTACATTTTCTAACAATTGCTATTGAATATTAGGAAATATAATTTTGTGGTTCCCTGTTAATTATGGACAATGGTTTTCATGGTTTTGAAGTAAAAGTTGCAAGCCTAAATCTCATCAGTTTCCTGACATCAAAATTCAGAAGTTGAGAAAACCAACATTGTAACTAACTAGCACAGAAATTGTCTTTGAAGAGTGTTGATGATGGTTATTGAAGGCTATAAATACAATTTTTGTAGATATTTAATTAATTATAATTTCAGAGCAATTACATCTAAAATTATGTCATCCCACTACTTAATTTTTAATGTGTTGTTCCACAGAAACTTTCCAACCACTTCTTTCTTTCTCTGTATTTCAATATATATTTCTTGATTCATTGATAGGCAGTACCTTTATCTTTGTGTAATGATCCTTGTGAGACAGGACACAGCAAGGCCAAGAAAGAAGGAGTGTTGTTTTGTTGCTATGATTGCCGTCTATGTCCAGAGGGAAAAATATCAAAGGAGAAAGGTAGAAAACTTCCAAATTATCCAAATAAGCCAACACTATAATTTCCTATATCAACTCACCTGCATTCTTTTTCAGATGTAGATGACTGCTCTCCATGTCCAGAAGATCAATATCCAAATCCAGGAAAAAATATGTGCATTCCAAAGCGGATCACCTTTTTGTCCTATGAAGAACCTTTAGGGATCAGTCTGACTGTCCTTTCCCTTTGTTTTTCTTCAATGACATCCATGGTCATCACAATCTTCACGAAGCATAAAGATACTCCCATCGTCAAAGCCAACAACCAAAATCTCACTTATATACTTCTAGTTTCCCTTCTCCTCTCTTTCCTTTGTGTTTTTCTATTTATTGGGAGGCCCAATACGATTGTGTGTCTCCTTCGACAACCAGCTTTTGGCCTTATCTTTTCTGTGGCAGTTTCTTGTGTCTTAGCCAAAACCTTTGTTGTGGTTCTAGCATTCATGGCTACCAAACCTGGTTCCAGACTGAGGAAATGGGTTGGGGGAAGGATGGTCAGTTTCATTCTTCTATCCTGTTCCCTTGTTCAAATATGTGTTTGTGCTGCATGGCTGATAACATCCCCACCATATCCAGATTTTGATGCACATTCAGTACCTGAAGAACTTATCCTGGAGTGCAATGAAGACTCGGTCATGTTCTACTGTGTTTTGGGCTTTATGGGTTTTCTTGCTCTGCTTAGCTTCTCTGCAGCTTTTCTAGCCAGGAAGTTACCTGACAGTTTCAATGAAGCCAAATTCATCACCTTCAGCATGTTGGTCTTCTGCAGTGTTTGGCTGTGCTTTATTCCAACCTATCTAAGCACAAGGGGAAAATATACGTTGGCTGTGGAGATCTTTTCCATGATCTCCTCCAGTGCTGGATTATTGGTGTGCATCTTTTTTCCCAAGTGTTTTATCATTGTGATGAGACCTGAACTGAATGATAAACACCAGCTCATGAAGAGAAAGTTTTAAGAAACCTTTATGTTTGCCTGATATTCTTTATAGATACATGTTGGAGAAATTCACCACATTTAAGCTAGAGAACAATGTACAGAGACAGTGATGTTCTATGTTTTCCCATCCTCTGAGATTTGGATAGCTTGGAAGGTTTTGTTTTTGGAAGGCAATTATAACTAAGGTCTATAAAAAGATAAATTACAGCACAAATTAATGTATTGACATAATTACTGGCATTATAGATTTATTGACATATTTTAGTATGTTATGGTGAGCTCTGATTAAATGTATTGATTAAATATGAATTGTAAATTTGTCTTTGTTGGTCATCTTAATTCATACGCAGTAGAATATGTAAAAAGAAATGCAGTTAAATACAAGTAAGATTTTTTTAAAACAGGGAATATCTACATTTTTTTTTTCCTGAAGCAATTGGACAGAGGGAAATCCATGATGCATATCACATGCAATGGTCTCCTACAAAACATGGGGTAAATTTAAAAGCTGGCCATATGTCTTCTTCTCAATAGCAATGATCAAAGAAAATTCAAATAAATACCATCAGAAGTCCAATTCATGCTAGCATCCAATTTGCATAAGAGTCTCCTTTTAAGAGATTCAGTCAAGTATGATGACTGTGAACAACATGTTTCATGGTCATAAGTCTATTTGAGTAGATAGTTTTGCAGCACTTGAATGAGAGGCACACAGTGATAAATAAATAAAATAAATAGAAATAAATAAAATGTGCCAGTTGATGACTCCAGTGGGTTTACCTGTTAAGCATCCTGGCAGAAAAGGCATGCTCTGGATCCCATTGGTCAAGGACTTTTGGCTGACAGAGTACAGGAGAAGAATCTTTTCTGCTGTGGCTTCTGTACTTCAGAATACATGCCTGCTGAGCTGATTAATTGATAGATGCTACCTCCTCCTTGTCCATACTTTACTCCCCTCTGCCATCTTTCTTAATTGAATTTTAACTGAATTTTAAATTTTTGCTACTTCAGGATTTTTATCATATTTTAATCATATGATTATAAACTGCTTAGGGTCATCTTGGCAAGATAGATTGGCATAGATATTTAGTAATAAATAAATCTCAGCTTGTTAATCTTATTTTCCAGCCTGATATTTCATTTTGGTGGCACGCAGTTTGGCTTTTTCCTCAATCATGCAAGTTCACTGTGGAAGAATCAGCCATTCTCAATCGACAATAAAGGGTACCACTGCTTCTTAGGCACTAAGCCTAGCACTAGGCACTAGGCTTTTAAAGCCTTTTATGGATAAGTATATCTTAAAAACACATAAGAAAATTCAAAATGTCAGAACAAAGCTTGAAGCAAAGTTTGATTTGCTGGCAAGGGAACTCCAGGAAGAATTCCAATGTCTGAAAGGAGATATGAAACAGGGGAAAGCCAGAGTAGATTGTATGGAGCATAAATTAGAGAAGACAAACTCTTTATGTGAAACTGAATTGGAAGAGATAATAATTCTTGAAGCTCAGATTAAAAATTAAGGATGGTGAAGCCTTGCCCAGTTAATTAATAAGGAGGAAAAAGAAATGGATATTGATTTGGACAAGATTTAAAGATTCACCATCACAAGAAAGTTGCCAAGGGATGTTGTAGTTCATTTTGTAAGAAGAATAACAAGGGATCAGGTTCTGCATTGCCATTTTAAACACAGGTTGACAAACAAAAATATAGATATTATTGTTCTGAAGGAAATTCCAGTTTGAATTCCTTACCGATATCTTGAAGCAGAGAAAAAATTATTCCATTGGGATAAGTTGGAAGGAGTGATACTCACCTACCATGAGCAAAGATTTAGACTGAATTCTACACAGAAAGATTTTTTTTTTTGATCAAACATGAATTAATTTCAGCTCCAGATGGAGCTGAATGGGGGAAAAAATCAATGGTTGAGCAAAGTCAAAAACATGGCATTGAAGAAGTCGATGTGGCAGAAAGAAAAAGAAGGAAAGAAGAAGATGTGGCCAAGATAGTTGTACAGGAATCTACTATGTTGCTTAAAGATGGAGATTAAGTTTATCATATTAGTGGAACAATGCCCCATCTAAGCATAAACAACATTTCATTATCTGAGGAAACTTAATGTTGATAGAGTCTGTCTCCAAGAAACACATGTCAAGAAACAAGATAAGAAATATTTGACAAATAAACAACTAGGGGATGAATTTATATCAGCTGGTGTAAAAAAGATCAATGGACTTGTCTTATATATGAAACCTCAGTTTAAACCCAAGCTATTTATAGCAGAGAAATAGGGTAGATTTGTAGTAGTGGAAATTGAACTCAATGGAATAAAATCAATAGTGGTTGGTGTGTACAGGCCAAATGACGATAGAATCATTTTTTTTAATATTTAATGGACCAGTTACTGCCCTTTTCATATGGAAACTGACTTATGATGGGGGATTGCCTGGAGTGCCTGGAGGCCGTGCGGATCTGGATGGGGAGAAACATGTTCAGGCTCAACCCATCCAAGATCAAGTGGCTGTGGTTTCCGATGTCCCGATATAGTCATTTGGCACTATCACTGACTATTGGGGCGAATCACTGGCCCCCACGGAGATGGCTTGCAACTAGGGCGTCCTCCTGGATTCACGTCTGTCTTTAGAAGAGCATTTGACGGCCGTGACCGGGAGGATTTTTCATCAGGTCCGCCTGATTCGCCAGTTGTGTCCCTTTCTAGATCGCGACTCCTTACGCACAGTCATTCATGCCCTAATCACCTCCCACCTGGACTATTGCAATGCTCTCTACATTTATTTATTTATTTATTTATTTATTTATTTATTTATTTATTTATTTATTTATTTATTATTTCAATTTGTATACTGCCCTTCTTCCGAAGTACTCAGGGTGGTGCACAGCCAAAATTAAAATACATATAATACAAAATTTAAAATAATTTAAAAGCAGAATTAAATCGAATTGGCTTCCCCAAAACATTAAAACCCATTACCCTTAAAATAACCCATTAAAATTTTAAGCCAGCCCAGCTCGCTGAAATAGGAAGGTCTTCAAAGCTCGACGGAAGGACGGAGATCCGGGGGTAGCTCGTTCCAGAGGGCGGGTGCCCCCACAGAGAAGGCTCTCCCCCTGGGGGTCGTCAGTCGGCATTGCTTGACCGATGGCATCCTAAGGAGGCCCTCTCTGTGGGACTGAGTGGGGCTCCCCTTGAGGAGCACTCGGAGGCTCCAACTGGCACAGAGTGCAGCCATGTGGGTGGTTATGGGAGTGACGTGGCGTTCCCATGTAACACCTCTCCTGCGCGAGCTGCACTGGATCCTGGTGGTCTTCCAGGTGCACTTCAAGGTTTTGGTTATCACCTTTAGAGGGCTCCATGGCTTAGGACCTGGTTATCTATGGGACCACCTGCTGCCACCAATAGCCTCCCACTGGCCAGTACGCTCTCATAGAGAGGGGCTCCTCCGGGTTCCGTCGGCCAAACAATGTCAACTGGTGGCCCCCAGGGGAAGAGCCTTCTCTGTGGGGGCACCTACTATCTGGAATGAGCTCCTCCCGGAGATACGGAGGATCCTGGATCTGCGCACCTTCCATCGTGCTCTCAAGACTTTTTTATTCCATCAAGCCGGCCTGGCCTCAATCTTTTCCCCTTTAAAATGTAAATTTTAATTTCTTTTTAAAATTATTGGGTGTTTTTAATTTGTCTCGGCCAAATTGTTTTAATTCAGTTTTATTCTGTTTTTAAATTTTGTATTTATGTGTTTTATTCTGTGGCTGTTCAGCGAAAGAAAGAAAGATTAGAATGGAGTGACTTCATCAGCTTTGGATGGAAAATCCATCAAAGAGATTAAACCCTCACAGGGTAAATTATCAAAGACTTTCTTTGAGATGATGGACAATATAGTATTAATCGATTCACGGAGATATAAAAATGGAGCCACCAGAGAATATATCTTTCTTTCTGAAAGGTATAAATCTTTTTCAAGGATTGACATTATATGGATATCTAACAATCTCACAAATAAAATTCTGAAAGTGGACATTCTGCCTAAATCTTTTTCTGATCATAATCCTATGTTTCTGGTTTTAAGAGGAAAGAGCTCGAGTTTTAGATGGAGATTAAATGAAGCTATTTTACAAAAGGAAAGGATTGTAAAATACTATAAAAACCTGGCTAGAAAGAATATGCACATAAAAGCCTATGAAAAAGAAAAAGACACATTGTACCTTTACAGGGAGGATACCTGAGAAGATGGTGTGGCTCACTGATGATGCCTTACAAGGCAGAAATAGCTATTTGAGTCTCCCAAAGAGCAGCACAGAGTTGCTGTTTGTCAGCAAGAAACAGAAAGCCCAGAAACTTGTGAGTGAGATTTCACAGAACCAGGGCTGTAGAACATCTTAGCTTACGTAGGTAAAACCTGGCTAGAAAGAATATGCACATAAAAGCCTATGAAAAAGATAAAGAAACATTGTACCTTTACAGGGAGGATACCTGAGAAGAGGGTGTGGCTCACTGATGATGCCTTACAAGGCAGAAATAGCTATTTGAGGCTGTGTGGTAGCATCCTGATCTCAGGTCATTACAACACAAAAGACTAAGGGGCACACATCAAGGACCTCAGCCACACAGGATGTTACGAAACAGCCGACTAATCTGCAAACATCAACTCCATCAACTAATCAAGATGTAAAAACACAGGCAACTAACCTGCTCACTGCAACAAAGCCAGCACCCCACACCTCCCCGCCAGTATTTATAGAGAGACGGCAGCTCTGATCACACTTTGCTCACACAGGCACGAAGCCAAAGACACCAGCCTGAAGATGACAAGTGGGACCTTGTTGAAACGTCACCAAGATACTCTCAATCTTACATGGGAAAAGACCCGAATACGCCAAAACTTGTGTGTGTGTGTGTATGTGTGTGTGTGTGTGTATCTATCTATCTATCTATCTATCTATCTATCTATCTATCTATCTAATTTCAAGTTTTGGTGTATTCGGGTCTTCTCCCATGTAAGATTGAGAGCACTTTGGCAACGTTTCAGCAGAATCTCATCTGCCATCATCAAGCTTATGCAAGGAATCTTCTGCAGCAACTGCCATTACTATTTCAAATCTGGTGCTGGTAGTGTGCTTTGCTGGGATGGCCCCACCTCTTTGTTCTGATTGTGATGATACCTCCCGCCTACCAGACATCTGGAAACTAGCCCTTGATAACAAATGAATCCCAGCACCCACAGACAGAAAAATCTACACCCCAGAAGCCAGACACACACACCCCGAGACCTCCAGCCAAATCACATTCCAGCCA